CCTCCCCCTTTCTACTCAGCAGATTAAGCTCCTGTGAACTCAAAACATAAAAACTCTGAGACCGGGACGAACACAAGCTAACTTTAGAAGCTCATTGCTCCCATTCTTCCTCCAACTGCAGTTTTGGCTTTCACACAACTTATAATTCAAACTCGTGTCACATCTAAGAGCCTTAGCATTGGTCACAGGCTTCTGGGTCATGATCTTAGGATTTATTGAAGGTGGAAATTGTAGAATATAGTTTTAGAAGACAGCCATTTTGTTGAAAGAATGTGGCTGGGTTACTTGCAGGTAGCCCACTCTGAACTCTGGACTGGGCCACATTCCAAACATTCTGGGATGGGCCACTTTCATTTGTAAAGTAAATACTTAAGCTTCTATAGAATTGTTTAACTTGGCATAAATCAATCATCTTAGGATGAAAAAGGTTTATAGAATATGTCAGTCATGGATTAGGTTATCCTTTGTTATGGAATTTTAAGATTATCATATGAAAAGGGTTTAAAGGCAATCATTGATTAAGTTTTTATGGATTAAGGTTTCTGGTGGGTGGGGGACACCCCTCCCACATCTGACTTTGTGTATAAAAGACCCGTTGTAATTCCCAATAACACACATTGCTTCTGCACTAGACTGGAGTTCAGTCTCTTTCTTTCTCTCTTCTTCCCCCCAAACATCGACGCCATCTCCACCTTTGGGGTACCCTGAACCTGGCTGGAGCTGGTCCCTGGCAATTCCTCGGGTCAGAGAACCAGCGCAGGGAACCAGCGTAGTTGTTGACTATGCCTATTCTAATTATGCATTTCCAAATTAGAGAAATAATCACAGGGTGGTTACAGGGACCCCTAGGATCTACTGGGAGATAGGTTGTAGCTAAAAGATAGGTTGTAGCTATTGATCACTTGATATCCATAAGCTCCTACTGACTAGAGGATCACAGCAACATTTTTGGTTTCCTGGAATTAGCCCCTCTTTCTCAGGTGATCTGTCTTTATCCTCTTAAAGCTGTCAACTGACTGAATGAGGCCACCCACATTATGAAGGACAATCTGCTTTACTCAGAGTTTATCAATATAAATGTTAATCTCATCTTTAAAAAATACCTTCACAGCAACATCTAACCTGTTATTTAACCAAATATATAGTTACCATGGTCTAGCTAGTTGACACAATTAACCATCACAGATATCTAGGCTCAGAGCAAGCCAACCTAAGTATGGAAGGACTACCATAGCACAGAGACAATCTGCAAAGAGTTCTTAAATTCAAGGAAATCTCTGTCAAAACATTAACTGAACATATGCTAAAGGAAGAAGACTTTAGTGATCACACATGACAAGGAATAGTCTCCGCAAAAATAGTTTTGAAATATCTGAAATGGAGTATTACAGCCTTCAACATAAAAACAAAAAACAATAAACCCTGGGCCAGACACAGTGGCTCATGCCTGTAACCCCAGCACTTAAGAGTGGCTGAGGTGAGAGGACTGCTTGAGCCTAAGAGTTCAAGACCAGCCTAGGCAATGAAGCAAGGCTGCATATCCTAAAAAATCAGCCAGGCATGGTGGTGCACACCTGTATTCCAAGCTACTCAGGAGGCTGAGGCAGGACTGCCTAGACCAGGAGGTCGAGGCTGTGGTGAATCTTGATCATGCCACTGCACTCTAGCCTGGGAAACAGAGAGAGACCCCAACTCAAAACAAAAAACAAAAAACAAACACAGTAAACCCTAGAAGGGGTGAATCTGATTTCCAGAGGTACCTCATTATACTAGACAGATGCCCAATTTGCAACACCACCAAAAAAAAAAAAACAACACAAGGCATTCAAAGAAAGAGGAAAACATGGCCCACTCAAAAGAACAAGATAAACTATCCCTGAGGAATCCAAGACTTACTAGACAAAGACATCAAAAAACATTCTTAAGTAAACTTGCAACAAGCAAGACAACTTGTTGAGTAAATGCATAGAGAGTGAAGGAAGGAAAGGATAAGCAACCCCAAATTTTTAAATCTAAGAAGGAACTAATCCCAAAAGAAAAAAGAATATCCAAAGCAAGAGCTTAACAAAAATGTGGTTTGGTTTTAACATTTAAATAAAGTAAAAGAAAACATGAGACGGGCTCGGTGGCTCAGCCTGTAATCCCGCACCTTTGGGAGGCTGAGGTGAGTGGATTGCCTGAGCCCGCGGGTTCGAGACCCGCCTGGGCAGTGAGACCTCATCTCTACAATAAATCAAAAAATCAGCTGGGTGTGGTAGCGATGCCTGTAATTCCGGCTACTGGGAAGGCTGAGGCGGAAGGATCACCAGAGCCCAGCAGGTCGAGGCTGCGGTGGCCGGGAGCGGCCACTGCACTCCAGTCTGGGTGACAGAGTGAGACTCCAATTCAAAAAACAAAACAAAACAAAACATGGATAGATAAGTAAAGGAAATTAGGAAAATAATTTTTTTCTTTTAGATTGGAAAATACAGTTTATTTAGAAAGTAAATTAGAGAGAGAGGATATTCATACCCCCAATGTAGAAGAGGTGCCAAAGTTAAGAAAACATGGATGCCAAGGCTCAAAGATCAAAGCGCACATGGCCTGGCCAGTGCTTAACAAAACAATAGCAAATAGAGAGAGAGAGAGAGAGAAGGAAATTCACCTTCCCAAAGTAGGGAAGGGGACTAAAGCTTAGGAAAACATGGCCTAGCTATAGCTCAAAGAGAACATGGCTAGACCATAACTTAGCAAGGCAATGGCCAGGAAAATAATTTTTTTAAAAATCAGAATATCAAGATAAAAATTATTTAAAAAATCTAATTTGGAGGTTGAAAAGAAAATAACAAGTGACGAATTCACCAGAGGAGCTCAATAGCATATATAACATGAAGAAGAATCAGAAAACTTGATAATAGGACTCTGAAATTATCAAGTCTGAGGAGCAGGAAAAAAAAATGAAAAGTGAGAAATGTCTAAGGAACCTGAGGGACACCATTAAGCAGTTCAATAGATGCATTAGGGAAGTTTCATAAGAATAGAAAGAGGCAGAAATATTATCTGAAGAAACAATGGCTAAAAACTTCCCAAATTTAATGAAAGATATAAATCTAAAATCAAATGAGCCCAATAAATCCCAAGTAGGATAAACTTACAGACCCACACCAAAACACATTATAATGAAACCGTCAAGAGTCATTACAATGGCTATTATAAAAAATATTAAGAATAACAAGTATTGGTGAGGAAGTGGAAAAAATGGATCATTTGTATTTTGCTGATGTTAATATAAAATGGTGCAGCCACTGTGGAAAACTGGTAGCTCCTAAAAATGTTAACTACAAAATTAACATATTTTCCAGCAATTCTACTATATATTTACACCCCAAATAATTGAAAGCAGGAACTAAATACATACTTGTACACCAATGTTCATAGCAGCATTATTCACAATTGCTTAAAGGAAAAAACAACTCAAATATCTACCAACAGATAAATGGATTAACAAAAACTGGTATATACATACCATGGAATATGTTATTCAGTCTTAAAAAGGAAAACAATTTTGATATTCTACAGCATAGATGAACTGTGAAAACATTATGTTAAATGAAATAAGCCAAAGAAGGGCAAATATTATATTCCATTTACATGAGTTTCCTAGAATAGGCATATTCATAGAGACAGAAAGTAAAATATAGGTTATCTGGGACTAAGAAGAGGGGAATGAGGAGTTATTGTTTCTATGAATAGTTTCTATTTGGGATGATAAAAAATTCTGGTAATAGATAATGTGAATGTACTAAAATAGCTACTGGATTGTATGTTTAAAAATGGGTAAAATAATAATTAAATGTTATATTTATTACCACAGTAAAAATAAAAAGGGGAGAGGCATATAATTTCCTTCTTGAATTCTCAAAGAACAGAAAATATATTTTTTTCAAATGTGGCCTTTATATGAAAATAAATAATAAAATTAATTCACACAATCACTTAGAAATCTTTATTTCAGAATAACCTACAGGATTATATCCAGATAAAGGTCCTATCAGCACTTCCCATGAGTTGTTACTCAGTTTGCTTTTAGGGACCCACCAGTCAAAACAGTACAAAACAGTTTGCTTTTAGGGACCCATCAGTCTTTTAACAAATGGAGGCCTTGAGAAAAGCAGTGCTAGATGGGTGGTAAAGCCTTACTTAATCACTTCCTATTTACAAGGTGACTTCTTTTGCATTCCTAAAACTTCTCTACTTTGATTCCCAATATGTGTTTTTTATTTTTTTTCAAAATCAGTTTGGTGAAAAACTCAATATATCAGTTTAAAAAAGAAAATCATACCATTACTATATAGAAAAATTACTTTAAATCAGTTATTTCTTTTGCTGCAATAAAGTCCAGCAAAGCCTTACCACCTCAAGCAAAACGTCTATACTCATCTATGCTCAAGAAGTAGTTTGGGTACTCAAGATATGTTGGTCTCTTCTAAGCTTTTCTTTAGGATCCACACATCATACATTCATCTCTATTCTCCAGAGAGCACACCATGGCTGCTGTATTCCTCTCCTTCTCTTCTTCCTCTTTTGATACCTTTTCTTTATCTTTTAACTTCTCCTTATTTAGAGTGAACTGGATTGGATTAGCTGCTGGTCTTGTCCTTAAATAATACATCCCAGTCTTCAAACCCTACAAGGGAAGTAAACACAACTATTAGGAGAAACTTTGTGAGAATATTAGACGTTTAAGGCCAATATTTAAAACACATTCCCATAAACCAGGTCAAATTCTTTTTTTTTTTTACCATCGCCTCCTGTCACAAATTATTTTTTAAAATGAGAATTCTATCTCCTCCAGAAGTACTCTCAAAAGTGCTTTGGAAGTAGGACAGCTATACCTTATTCTTTTCATCCCCAAAACAGGCTTATCTCTTTGGAATACTTGTCAAATACTTTTATTCTCTTGTCATTATTTTTATGTGTCTGACTTCCAAATTTGACCAAGACAATACATCTGCCTTAAATTATAACTATTTAAAGGGCAAGGCTGTGTCTCTCTATAACAGGTTATAACAATGTCAAGGATAAAGATCATCATCTTCAAGCCAGGCTCGGTGGCTCAGCCTGTAATCCCATGCCTTGGGAGGCTGAGGTGAGTGGATTGCATGAGCCCATGGGTTCGAGACCCATCTAGGCAACTTGGTGAGATCTCATCTCTACAATAAATAAAAAAATTAGCCAGGTGTGGTAGCACGCGCCTGTAGTTCCAGCTATTTGGAAGGCTGAGGCGGAAGGATCGCCAGAGCCCAGCAGGTCGAGGCTGCGGTGGCCGGGAGGCACTCCAGTCTGGGCGACAGAGTGAGACTCCAACTCAAAAAAAAAAAATCATCATCTTCTAGTCAGTATCACCAGTCCTGGTGCACACTAGGTATTCAATCGGTGTTTGTTAAATAAAAAAATAAACTTATAATTCTATATAACCATTACATTAACAGGGAATAAGAATACAATCCAAAATCATCAGACTTTACAGCTAGCAATGACTAGTTAAATAATTTAGCTTTCACATTATAAAGTGAGAAGACAATGGCTGTTTTTGAATATTGGGTTGACATGTGCAGTTTTATTTTTGGAATGGTGGCAGTGCACAAGATGGCCCGGAGCAGAATATTAGAAGCAAAGAGGTTAGTTAAGAATAATGGCATAAAAACCATAATAAAAAATACTGATTAATGAAAAAAAAAAAAAAAACACTAGCAGAAACCACCACCAAAAAAATAAATAAATAAATAAATAAAATGTAAAAAAAAAAAGAATAATGACATAGAATAGAAAAGAAGATATTTAAGAAATAGTACAAAAGAACAACCAAAACAACTTGTTGGGTAACTGCATGGAGAATTAAGGAAGGAAAGGATCATAGGTAACTCCAAATTTTTAAACCTAAGAAGTAAATAATCCTAACAGAAAAAAGAATATCCAAAGCAAGAGCCTGATCTAGTACAAAAACCATGGGGTGATTTTAAAATACCAAATGTGAACTTAAAGAACTTTCAAAAGGTGATGATATTTAACAGAAAGCTAGAACATAAAATCGTTCTAATTTCAAAATATCCCAAGCTGACAATTAACTAATCCTTGATTTTCTCTACCAACCTGCTTCCAGCCATAGAAGTGCATACTAGTGAGTTTGCCATAATTAGGCTCAGCAATATGAATGTTCAAAGACTGGCTTTGATCAATGAAAGCACCTCTGTCAGCTCCCATCTTGATAATGATTTTCTGAGAGATTTCCCACACAGTTTTATAAAGTTGCTTCAGGTCATCGGGAATTTCTGGTATGCTCTACAGAAGAGAAACCAAATGTTTATTCTACTCCAGTTAAAAAAAGCAGTACGATTAATAGAATAATGACACTAGAGTCTGACCTTTGTTCTACTTTCTGCCAGATCTGACCGTACCATTCAGTAACATATAATTATGAATCCTGTCAAGTATGCCAAGACTGTTTACCTCTGGCTTAAAAAGTTGAGCAAAACCCTATGTAACCAACCACATACCAATCTAGTGGTAGTGATTTAGGCATCCATTTTTAAATTAGTTTATAGTCAAAACATTCATTGTTCTAGAGGCATTTAAGAAAGGAAGGAAAAGTCAGTTAAACAGCAATAAATGGCCCTTGAGTTTTCCAGAAAACACAAATATTCAGGGCTGTAACTCTCATAGGGGCATGATCAAGGGAAACAACAAAATAAAACTCTTTAAATAAGTTTGGATTCCACAAACGCCACTTAGAATCCAAATAAATCTGGTTTCCTAAAGTGCAGGGTTGGCCAGGCATAGTGGCTCAGACTTGTAATCCCAGTACTTTGGGAGGCCAAGACAGGATGAGTGCTTAACACCCAGAAGTTCGAGACCAATCTGGACAAACAAAGCAAGATTTTGTCTCTACAAAAAGTCACACACAAAAAAATCAGGTATGGTGGCACACACCTTTAGTCCCAGCTACTCTGGAGGCTGAGGTGGAAGGATCACCTGAGCCCAGGAGGTCATGGCTGAGGTGAGCCATGATGGTGCCACTGTACTCCAGCCTGGGCAACAGAGTAAGACTCCAACTCTATCAATCAATCAAGTGTAGGTGTAATGTGTATTAAAACACACAGACTGGTTAATGGTATAGTTTCTGTGATCAAACAGAGAAATCTCACAGGACTCCTTTATCTGTGTTGCTAACCAGGCCAATGTTTACCCAGAAGTTTCTAACTCCAATTAGACACTTCTTGATTCTCCACTGTAAATATTTTATTATTAAACACTATTTGTGACTCTCTCTTTTGGACTATCAGTCCTCAATCTCCACCATGTTTTTAAATTATATTTGACTCTAATTTTAGGCTTTATATCAGTGGTCCCCAAATTTTGATGTCCTTTGGAATCACTAAAGAAATCTTTAAAAAATACAGATGTTTGGCATCTACTCCCTGACATTTTTATTTAATTGGCAGGGAGCGCAACTTAAGCTTCAGGATTTTATAAGCACTCCAAATGACTCTGATAAGCAGAAAAGTTGAGAATTACTATTTTTTGAGAACTACTGCACAAACAAAATGGTAAGGGCTATGTAAAGATGTGTTTAATTCCAGCACAACATTGCAGATGCAGACAGAGCTACATAAGCAGAGTCTGTAAGAATACAATGAAATGCCATTCTATCCACTGCCTGGTATAACTGAGGAAGCACTACAATGTTTAACTCGGCTCCTGAAGGGCATACTTCATCTTAATTATGTACCTGGATAGAGCCATTGCATGCAATAATCTGATTTTTCATCTCTTCATTCCATAAACCCCGCTCAGTAAGATCTTTCAATAAGTGAGGATTTACAACCTGAATGGAAAAACAGAAAATATGTGAAGAAATAAATAACAATGACAGTGCCTACACAGGATCATAAGTCTAAAGCTCAAAGTAAGTAAGGTGACTGAAGAATTATTTAAAACTACATTGCTTGGTAAATTATATTTTTTATAAAACCAAGACACCCATTCCACCATACAATAGCTATATTTCTTTAAGATCTTGGCATCTGCTATTTAAGAAACAAAATATATTGTGGTAATCATTATACAGTATATACATACATCAAATCATTACACTGCATTACCTTGAATATATACACAATTTTCATCAATTATACCCCAATAATGCTGAAAAAATTTTTAATTAAAAAAGAAACATAATATATGGCATCTTCAAACTTGATAAAAACTAACAATGTCTAAGTTGAGGAAATCTATTTGAATTAATTTTTTGTTAATGCAAGGATACAATAAATACTTACGTAAAAAAATTAGAAATGTATCTTTCCCAAACTTTATAGAACTTCATTTGTGGAAACTCACAAATAAAAATTTTTATTAAAAAAAATTTTTTTTTTAATTAGTGGTTCCCAACCCTACGTGCACATAAAAATTACACGGGAACCTTAAAAAAAGCACCAATCCTGCCCACCAGAAATTCTAACTGGTAACCAAGTCTGAAAATCACTGTCTTAAATGATACTTCTTTACAAATCTTGAGTATCCCAATCTAAACATCTAAAATTGTAGCATATATCACTATAATTATATAACATTAAACATCAGGTATACTCTACAATCAAGTTACTTTCATATTCAACCCACAATCACTCATTCTTTCAATAGATATTTATTAAATGTCTATTATGTGCTGAAATAATAAAGAACAGTATTAGAGACAGATTAATCTTTTTATCAAAGCTTTGACCCTAAACTAAAAAGGGGACATACTAAATATGACTGAATATTTACTCTCAACATCAAGCTTTTAAAAAATCTTCTAGTAGGTCTGGTTGTGAACTGTTCACCTGAAATTCTCCTGACAAGACTCTGCGAGTGTAGATATTGCTGGTATAAGGTTCAATGGACTCATTATTCCCCAGGATCTGAGCAGTTGAAGCAGTAGGCATTGGGGCAATAAGTAAACTGTTTCTTATACCATACCTAAAGAAAAGGAGATAATTAGGTGTCAGTTCTAATGCTAAAATCTGCAAGGAGGGCAGCTACTTTAAGTTATTGTAGTAAATACAGATGTTGTTAACATCATACATGCATTTAACTCCATGTTAATTTTTGAATTAAACTCCTACAGGGATGTAAGTACTCAGTATGGATGCTATAGCCCACGTCTTTCTTAAATATGATTCCCAAACAGAATCAGCAAAACTGTTACTATTGGCAGTCTTTATCATGTCATAACTTATGCTACTTGCACTGTGGCACTCAGGAATCACAGCACTTGATACACTATCTTGGCCAGGGAAACATTTGAACAGCAGTTGAAGAACTTCCCACCTATATCAGGATATACTTATTCAACCTCCACTCTTTTCTAAGTGCCTATATGATCACCATGCTAGGCCCCTTCAGGAAACATAATGGTGTGAAAATGGCCAGAATCAGACATATATCACAATTCCCCATTAACCTGTGAACAGGGAAATACTATGTTCAAAGTATATTACTGACTGCCCTTATTACCACTTCAATTAGAAGTTCCTAGAAGAACGTTAGCATCTTTTGACTATTTCAGTGCCCAAAAAGTACTTAAGGTAGAATATACTATCTGACACACTGAGAAATATTCGAACTGCTCTGGCTCATCCTTCAAAGGCCAGTCTAGTGATACCAACTCTAAAAATTCTTTCCTGACCAGGCAGGCACAAAAACAAGTGTTAAATACAAATATATGCTCTGCAAACATCTTCTATAACCTATACCTTTCACATAAACTTTAATTATTTGTGAACCTTACTTTGTATTAAGTTCTTTTTTTTTCTTTTCTTTTTTAAGTTGGAGTCTCACTCCGTCGCCCAGGCTAGGGTGCAGTGGCACACTCATGGCCATCCCAGCATCGACCTGCTGGGCTCAGACGATTCTTCCTCCTCAGCCTTCCAAGTAGCCAGAAATACAAGCATGCACTACCACGCCCGGCTAATTTTTTATTTTTATTGTAGAGATGAAGTCTCGCCAAATTACCCAGGCTGGTCTTGAACCCATGGGCTCAGGCCTCCACTGGCCTCAGCCTCCCAAAGTGCTGGAATTTACAGGCTGAGCCAACAAGCCCGGCCCGTATTATGTTCTTAAAACACAAAGAACATATCTTTCCTACATTCCAGACCTATGGATTCATATAGTGCATACATAAGCACAGAGCCTCATATTCTGTTGGAATCTGTACAACTGGATTTTCAACCTTAAACTGTCACTTTCCAGTTATAAAGATTAAAGCAAATCATGAGCTATCTCCGTATCTTTACTTTATCTGCAAAAGAGCAACATCATCTGTCTACAGACAAGAAAATATTGTGAAAAGTCATATATATATAAAATGTCCAAACTATAGAATTATCTCTAATTATCAGAAACATTAGGTAGATCTACATGTACTAAAAGGGAAAAATCTCCAAAAAACATCACTAAACGTAGTCTCAGAATATGTCAAGTTTGATCACATTTATATGACAAAACTCTGCGTGTGATCTATTTGCAAATATACTAAAAAAGGTCTAAAAATACACACCAAGCTGGGCTCTGTGATTTAGCCTGTAATCCCGCACTTTGGGAGGCTGAGGTGAGTGGATTGCCTGAGCCCGCAGGTTCGGGACCCACCTGGGCAACTTGGCGAGACCTCATCTCTACAATAAATTAAAAAAAAATTAGTCAGGCATGGTAGCGCACGCCTGTAGTTCCAGCTACTTGGAAGGCTGAGGCAGAAGGATCGCTGGAGCCCAGGAGATCGAGGTTGCAGTGGCCAGAAGCATGCCACTGCACTCCAGTCTGGGCAACAGAGTGAGACCCCAACTCAAAAAAAAAAAAAAGAAGAAAAGAAAGAAAAACACACACCATTAACAAAGATCACCTCTGGGAAAAAGAAAAAGTTTTTTATTTGTTTTATGGGACAAGTGGTTGGCAGAAGTATGAAGAAAGGCTTTTACTGTCTATTTTATTTCTGTATTTAAACTTTATGAATAATGAACGTTGAGTTTATATACTAACTTTGAAATTTTTTAAAAAGTCATGGATATTAAAAAAAAAAACTAGGTAACCCAAAGTAGTTTGAGAAAAAAAATAAAATAACACAAAAGGCAGTACAGATCCATTTCTATAAAAGTTGAATTTGCATGTAAATTCACACACACTCACAAAAAAGTCTGAAGGATGGCAGACACCAAGATTCAAACAGATTTTGGGAGGTGGTGGTATTAGAATAATTTTCATTTTCCTCCCTTTCCACATGTATGTTTTTCTAAATTTTCTACCATATATTATTTGAGTAAAAAAATAATTTTAAGGCTAATAGATATTTAAAAGAGCACTTTAAAACTATTATTTCCTTCTCCAAACATTAAACACTTTGGATATGCATTAACCCAAAGATGACAAATTCATTATGATAAAAAATGAAATTTGTTATTCATTCAGCAAAACATTCTGCCTGTTCTTAAATCTCTTATGCCTATTAGTTTGAAAGGCCTCCCAAGACTCCATTTTTAAATTTTTTCTTTCATACAGTTTAATGCATTACCCTCCAAAAAGCTCTTCCAAAATCCCAAACTCAGCCAATGACAATCAATTCAAACAAAAGTCATTTATATGCCCAGTATGGTTAACAGTAAACAAATAATAAAAAACATTTAAAAAGCTAGCTTATTTGGAAAAATGAAGACTCAATCAATGAAAAAGAAAATTACCTAATGTAGGTGTGCTAAGTCCCTAAAATAAGATCAACTAACAGGCCAAGCCCAGCCTGTAATCCCAGCACTTTGGGAGGCCATGTGGGGGTGAGGGAGGAGGTTTGCTTGAACCCAGCCAGGAGTTTGAGACCAGCCTAGGCAACACAGTGAGACCTTGTCTCTAAAAAAAATTTTTAAATTATCCAGGTATGATGGCACATGCCCGAAGTCCCAGCTACTTGGGAGGCTGAGACAGAAAAATTACCTGAGCCCAGGAGGTCAAGGCTTCAGTGAGCCATGATCGTGCCACTGCACTTCATCCTGGGCAAGAGAGTGAGACACCAATTCAAAAAAAAAATCAACTAATAATAATAATTCCTACCATATACTGAAAAGCTTTTATTGTGCCAAGCCCGGTTACATACATATATTTCTCCAAAAGTAGCTCTGTGAGATAGGCCATTTTAGCCCCATTTAAAAGTAGAGGTGCGCAGGGCTCGGTGGCTCAGCCTGCAATCCCGTGCTTTTGAGAGGCTGAGGTGAGTGGACTGCCTGAGCCCGCGGGTTCGAGACCCGCCTGGGCAGCGAGACCTCATCTCTACAATAAATCAAAAAATTAGCCGGGCGTGGTAGCATGAGCCTGTAGTTCCAGCTACTTGGAAGGTTGAGGCGGAAGGATCGCCAGAGCCCAGCAGGTCGAGGCTGTGGTGGCCGGGAGCAGCCACTGCACTCCGGTCTGGGCGACAGAATGAGACTCCAACTCAAAAAAAAAAAGGTGAGGTGAAAAAATGAATTTAAGAAGTTAAAATGACATACCTCACTTCTAAAGAGCCAGGAGAACCTAAACTTTCTTGCCTACGTTCAAAGCTATTTTGCATCTCTTCACTTACTTTGCAATCTTCTCCTTGAGAAGTTTCCAGTCCCAAAGGTCCGTAGGAGTAACGTTCCACATATCATACTGAAGAAACTAAGGAATAAATAAGTCAAATTTATGACAAGTCATTCTTTAGCAATTTAAAACAATGACAAAAAACAAAGCAAACGACTAATTGCCATGTCTCTATATCCCCAAAAATGCTGTCTCTAGTCAATCTCTGTAAGAAATATAAGGTTCAGGACAAACTTCTATGTAGTCCTATCATTCAGAAGCAGGTTAGCAAAACTGGTTAATCCGTTATCTACAAACCAGAAAATCCTAACCCATGAAAGCATGCTGCTGAGATAATTTTTTTTTTTTCTTTTTGCGGTAAAAACATTATCTTTCTTCATTGCCTTGCTCTGTCCCTTGATTTGTGTACTTAGCTAAAAACAGCTATTGTCTTAAAACCACAGATTAAATTTCCTATTATTAGCAGGAATGCCAGAACTAACAGTCCCAAAATCAACAGAAATGTCAGAACTAACATTTTTTGTTAAAAAGAATCATCCTACTGATAATAAAAGCAGTGTAGAAGGCAGACTCCTAAGATGGCCCCCCAGATTCCCAATCCTTCGCACACAGACCATTTATATAATCTCTATTCAAGGCTGAGCTTGGTGACTCAGCCTGTAATCCCAGCATTTTGGGAGGCTGAGGCGAGTGGATTGTCTGAGCCCACAGGTTCGAGACAAGCCTAGGCAACTTGGTGAGACCTCGTCTCTACAATAAATCAAAAATTAGCCAGGTGTGGTAGCACGAGCCTATAGTTCTGGATACTTGGAAGGCTGAAGCAAAAGGATCACTGGAGCCCAGCAGATCGACACTGGGTGGCCAAGAGCACTGCACTCCAGCCTGGGCGATGGAATGAGGCTCCAACTCAAAAAAAAAAAAAAAGAAAAAAGTATAATCTCTATTCAAGTGTGGACAGAACCTGGGAATGTGATGAATGTCACTTCATGATTACTACAAAGATGAGAGGTTTCTACAGATGTAATTAAGGTTGCAAATCAGTTGATTTTGAGTTAAACAAAAGGAAAATTATCCTAGGTGGACCTGACTTTCAGATGAAAGTCCTCAAAAGAGAGACCAGATTGGGCCCTTTCTGAAATGAAAGATTGTCTTTCCCACTGGCCTTAAAGAAGCAAGAGGCCATGAGTTCTGGAACTACATGAAAATAAATTCTGCCAACAACCAGGTAAGCCTGGAAGAGGATTCTGTGCCTCAAATGAGACCATTGCCCCTACTGACACCTTGAACACAGCCTATGGGACCCAGAGAAGAAGACCCTGTTATGACAAACCTGGACTCCTAACCTGTGGAAACCATGAGATAATGAATGTATGTTGCTTTAATTTACTAAATTTAGTAACAAAACTAACACAGGCAGCATTCCTCTTATGTCACTTTAGCAATGACTAGAGTTCTAAATAAGAGATTAAAATAGAGTATCCAGCCAGGCATGGTGGCTCACACCTATAATCCCAGCACTTTGGGAGGTAGAGGTGAGAGGACTGCCTGAGGCCCACGAGTTAGAGACCAGCCTAGACAATTTTATGAGACCTCATCTCTACAATAAACAAAGAAAAATTAGCTGGGTGTAGCGGCACATGCCTGTAGTTCTAGCCACTTGTAAGGCTGAGGCAGAAGGATCACCTGAGCCCAGCAGGTCGAGGCTGTTGTGGTCATGAGTGAGCACTCCAGCCTGGGCAACAGAGTGAGACTTCGACTCAAAAAAAAAAGAAAAGTATCCTTCCTACTCCAGAGGACAACGGTACAAAGGTACCGAAGTTTCCTGTGGTTTTAAGCTACCAAAAATGTGGTAGCTTAAAATAAAAACTTATTCTTTCATGGTTCTAGAGGCCAGAAGCCCAAAATCAACATGTTGGGAGGGCCACATTCCTACCATATGTACTAGAAGAGATTCTGTTCCTTGCCCCCTACAGTTTTAGTGGCTGTCAGCATCCCTGGGTTTATGGCTGTATTACTCCAATCTCTGCCTCTGTAGTCATGTTACTTCCCTTTTTCTCTGTGTCTCTTGTAGCATAACTGTTATTAGATTTAGGGTTCACCTGGATAACCTAAGACAACCTCCTTATCTCAAGATTCTTAATTATATCTACAAATATAATTAAGAACCAAATAGATAACATCAGCATAATGTTAGAACGAAACATTAGATAATCTTAGAACTAAATAGAAAACATTAGCAAGTTTCAGGGATTAGAATGTGGATATATCATTTGCAGGGGCCACCATTCAGCCCACTATAGTACTCACAGACAAAAAGAAATTTCATCCATATACTTACTCCCTTGCTTACTGGACAGCCCTCATAGGTTTCATATGGGCCATGCTCCTTGGCCAGGTCACAACTGGCTTCCAGGGCACCATAATAAATAGTTTCAAAGATCTGCTTATTCAGTAACTGGGCCTCTGGACTCTCAAAAGGGTACCTCATCAGGATAAAAGCATCTGCCAGACCTTGGACCCCAATTCCAATGGGGCGGTGGCGTTTATTTGATAGCATTGCCTATAGAGAAGAAAAGGAAAAAAATCATTACTGAATTTAAAAAGCTACATTCTGCACCAAATAACACACACTACCTCTTTATCTCAGTTTTTTTACACCATTCCAACAACAACCATTTAAATGATGACTTGCAGACCATGATAAATTCTCTCCATTTTGAACTTCAATAATTAGCAACAAGCAGAGAAATCTATTCATACCTCTGGGACAGGATAGAAATTTATATCAATAATTTTATTCAAGTTGCGGACAATGACTTTAGTGACTTCAGCCAACTTCTTAAAGTCATATGTGTGTTCTGATGTGACATACATATTAAGGGCCAGAGAAGCCAAATTACAAACGGCAACCTAGAATACAATTTGAAAAAAAGAAAAAGGTCAAGAATCACAGTTTTGATTTCATCCCCCATGTCAATGACACCATCATGTAAGCCTCTAACACTCACAAACATTAAAACTTAAAATTTTTACCTTTGACTTCCTCTTCTACACCATTCATCAGTCCATTTCTAAATTTCACTGATTCTATTCTTTAATATCTAGTCACATATGAGTTGTAACATGAATCAGTCAAAGAAATAGGACGAAGAAAGACCCCATAACACATAGCTCTGTTACCAGACATATATCACAGTGTGCTCTAATTATTTATATATATCTATTTCATCATTCAGCAGATATGTGCTGTACAATACAGTAGCCATACTATCTATTTAAAATTAAATAAAATCTAAAAATCTGTTCCTTGGATGCACTAGTCACATTTCAAGTACTCAAGATCTACCAGATACAGACCATTTCCATCACTGCAGAAAGTTCTTCTAAAACACACACGTGTATCTCATCTTCACTGATATTCAGACAAGCCCTTAGAAAAGAGTCCAAATTTATGAATTGTGAAAATGTTCTTCAGGTGACTTCCCTACTACACTACACCAGGCAGCTAGCTTCCTCAGGCAGAGATCATATCTTATATTTTTAGCCCTAGCACCACATTTGGAGTACAGTAAGTGCTTGATAATGTTGGATGCATTAACTTTCTTTTCCATTTTGATTAAGATTATCCCAACACAAAGTTCAACTTCTCTCATGTGGACTACAGAAAGTTTCTTAACTGAACTGCCTGATGCCTTTCAAATCTACTACATTCTATACATATTGTCAAATAACCATTTTTAAATACAGCTTAGATCATAAAAGTCTGATAAATGCTAGGGAGAAAAATAAGAAAAGAAGACAGTACTGGAGGTAAATATAGAAGAGGTACCATTTTTAAACAGTTGTCAAAAAAGATCTCACTAAGAACAAGACACATGAACAAAAACTAAAGGGGTTATAAAGCAAGCCTTGAGGCTAGCTGTAGGTAGCAAAGAGCACTGTAACATTCAAAGTTAAATAACAAAAATCTTGAGACAGGAGCACACTTGACATATCTAAGAAATTAGTAGGGGCAGGGTGTGGTGGCTCACGCCTGTAATCACAGCACTTTCAGAGGCAGAGGCTAGAGAATTGCCTGAGCCCAAGGTTTCAAGACTAGCCTGGGCAACTTGGCAAGACCATGTCTCTACAGTAAGATCAAAAAACTTAGCCATGGTGGTATACATCTATAATCCTAGTTACTTGGCAGGCTGAGGCAGAAGGATCGCCTGAGCCCAGCAGGTCAAGGCTGCAGAGGCCCTGAGTGTGCCACTGCGCTCCAGCCTGGAGTGACTGAGACTGCCCCCCCCAAAAAAAGAAAAGAAAAAGAAATTAGTAGGATTGGAGCAGAGTGAACAAAAGAAGAAAGCAAAGTAGATAAAGTGGGGATATCCAGTTGTGGAGGACCTTGTGAGCCGTTATAAGAAATGTGGATGGAAAGGAAGAACTGAAACATGCTACAACATGGCTAAGCCTTAAGAACATGCTAAGTGAGAGAAGTCTGACACAAGCGGCTACACATTATGATTCCATTCATATGAAATGTCTACAATGTCCACAAATCCAGGGTGAGAAATATGTTAGTGGTTAACAGGGGCTGGGAGAAGAGGGGAACAGGGAGTGACTGCTAATGGGTACTCTTTCATCACGTGGAGTGATATACTAATAAATGTGCTAGAATGAAATAGTGGTGATGACTGCATAGACTAGTAGATATACAAAAAAAACACACCGAATTGTATACTTTAAAATGGGTGGCCGGGCTCAGTGGCTCAGCCTGTAATCACGTGCCTTGGGAGGCTGAGGTGAATGGATTGCCTGAGCCCGCAGGTTCGAGACCCACCTAGGCAACTTGGTGAGACCTCATCTGTACAATAAATAAAAAATTAGCTGGGCATGGTAGCGCACGCCTGTAGTTCCAGCTACTTGGAAGGCTGAGGCGGAAGGATCGCCGGAGCCCAGCAGGTCGGGGCTGTGGGGGACGGGAGCGGCCACTGCACTCCAGTCTGGGTGACAGAGTGAGACTCCAACTCAAAAAAAAAAAGGGTGAATTTTATAGTATGTGAGTTATAGTTCAATAAAAAAAAAAATTCTGCATGGGTTAGCCAATCAAAGATTAGTTTTGTGCAGACAAACCACATGATCTGACTATTGTTTAAGAAGTGTTACTCTAATCTCTATAATATAATCTATTTTGCATAATAGTTACTTGAATAGTTATCAATTTCTTCCAACTAAATTAGAAGATTCCAGAGGGCAGCAACTGAATTCATTTAAATTCTCAGAGCACTTCATATAGTGTTTTATACAAAGCTGGTGCTAAATAAATTTTGAATTAAACTGTAACCTTAGCAACAACCTTCTTAGGCTAGCTTCTAACCACTGTAACCAGATACTCTGTAACCAGAGGCAAGAACCATCCTTTTCATTTTTACATTTTGAGGCTATTTTTCTGTCAGAAACCTACAAGGTAATTTAGGACAAACACAAAAATGTCAGCTTCTCCTTCTATCTCCCTTCCCTCAGCCATAGCCATCTCTCCATATACTAAGCCTCAATCTCCTTGCTCTATCAAAACAAACTTATACAATGCTACATAAAACCTAGCCCTATCTCTGATCTATCACACAGGCCATTCTTTCCAAATGGAAAGCTTTTCCCTAAACTTAAAAAAAAAATCCATTTCCCATTTCTAGCCTTACTCTTCTGTGAAATCTCTTTACATATTTGAGATTAAAGTTTTGTTTCTCCATTCACTGAAAGGACTCTACAAGCATGTTCACACATACTTTAAACTGAGTAAGCATTCTAACACATTTTTGTTTGTCCTTAACCTCCACAGCTGTCTCAAGTGAATTTTATTATAATGATGTGTGTATAAGAAAAAACTGACAGTCTTTTCTACATGGCTTAAACTATAAAATATTTATTGGTACAGATTACACCTCTCCCTTCCTTTGTAATCTATTATAATTCTTTTCTGCTAACAACAAACCATGAAAGCTCCCTTCATTCATCTCAAGTGAAATTAAGTAATTCACAAACAATAAATGCCTAAGATTTTTCTTAGTACTCTAGGCAGAAATTTTTCTACCTACCTCATCTTTGCTGGTATACTCTATGATTTCTGTACACAGATTGCTGCATTTGATGGTTCCTATGTTCTGCTGGTTGCTTTTCCGATTACAGGCATCTTTGTAGAGCATGTACGGAGTACCTGTCTCTGTCTGAGACTCAATGATGGCATACCAAAGCTGCTGAGCTTTTATAACTTTGCGGGCACGACCCTGTTTCTCATAACTGAAAGGCAAAGCTAACGTTATTTTAATTTTTATGCTCTAAGAAAATCTTTATTAATATAGATAATGTGAAGAAAGATGCTAAAATATAAACTTATGAAAACTCTTACATTTTTAATAAGTTTTGCTAATGAAAAAAAGGACCACGAATATTCATTTTACTCTGGCTAAAGCCACAGAGGAAACGCAGGCAGCTTTAGACCTGTTCAAATGGTCCCCATACTACGAAATCAGTAACAGTTTTCATAATAAAAAAGGAGTAAAAACTAATCAAAGTCTCTTAATACTATGTTAATTTTAATGAACTATAGATATGTGTGTCCTACTCGTTCGTGATTCCTACATGCAATATAAAGCCTAACTTACCTGGTCAAAAGTACTATACGACAAAGCAAAATAATAACCCTGCTAGTCTTTACCTTAATTTTTATTATGATAATGAAAAAAACTCAAGAACCTATTTATATATCCTAAAGTTTTAAGAAAGAAGAAAACACAAATCAATTTTGGTGAAGATCAAGAAGCAAATCTCCCCCATCAAATTATTCATCACTTTCTCTCCTAGATGTTTCTAAAGATTCCCAGGAAAAGGCTAATGACTTAAGTACTTTTGATATTTGAACTCCTCAGATAAAAGAAAGCATGGTTAAAACATTACTTTCATATTTTTCCCATACCTTTCATACAGCTTCTCAAATTCTTCTCCCCAAACCTCATCCAGTCCAGGACACTCATTTGGACACATCAAAGACCAATCCTACAAAGGAAAGAACAATACCACTCTTAAGAAACTTCAAATAACCAACCATAATTCATTAGAAACACTGCAAGAATAAGGTGGTTTCCATAGGCTTTTCTTGGAAATTTGATGTAGAAAGAATCACTTTAGGCTCAGGCCCAAACATCTATTTCTGCCAGTTTGTACACAATCTTTTAAGTATTTAGGTCAGATAGCATCTACTTCAGAGAACAGAAATGCAGGAAGACAGGAATGGTACCTTTTAACTTGTTCAGAATGCCTTCTGTGGTATCACACATAGATGGACTCTTTCTAAACATTACTTAAGATGACTGAAGAAATAAAGCTCATATGAATCAAGCTGCTATAACAAACAACCTATCCCTCACCTGATTAGTCTCCACTCGTTTCATGAAGAGATCCGGAATCCAAAGGGCAAAGAAAAGATCCCTGGCACGCTGTTCTTCCTTTCCTGTGTTCTTCTTTAGATCAAGGAAATCAAATATGTCTAAATGCCAGGGTTCCAAGTACATGGCAAATGCCCCAGGACGCTAATGGTAAATAAATCATCACTCTTTTCAGAATCAGAATAAAACAAAGATATTTCATGTTTTCCAAAGTACTTTTATATCTTTTGATCTTTACTACATTTAATGAATCAAATAAAATAATGTAAATAAAAGTACTATAAAAATACAGTAATACTTTTCTTATAATTCTAGGAGTAAAGTAAAACAAATGACATAAAGAAAATGTGGAATCAGAAAGATTAATTTGTCCAAAGTGACACAGTGAACTACAGATGGAACCTTCTCTTTAGTTGTAGCCCAGCTCTCTTTACACAATTTGACATGTACATAAAGCCCAAAGAAAGCTGTTCTAACTTGGACAATGTAATCTGTGCTTTTATTAAAGGTAAAAAAGATGCCGGGCTTGGTGGCTCAGCCTGTAATCCCGTGCCTTTGGGAGGCTGAGGTGAGTGGATTGCCTGAGCCTGTGGGTTTGAGACCCACCTGGGCAGGCGAGACCTCATCTCTACAATAAACCAAAAAATTAGCTGGGCGTGGTAGCACGCGCCTGTAGTTCCAGCTACTTGGAAGGATGAGGCGGAAGGATTGCCGGAGCCCAGCAGGTCGAGGCTGCGGTGGCCGGGAGTGGCCACTGCACTCCAGTCTGGGTGACAGAGTGAGACTCCAACTCAAAAAATAAAAATAAAAAGGTAACCCGTCTTAGCAAGGTCCCCAAAGTCTATCAAAGAGAAATTCATAAACAGGTGACTAGTGTACCTGCCTAGTCATAAGTGGCAGACTCTAGTTGCATACTATCTGTTGATAACACTGGGTAAACAACCTAATTCTCTCAATTTTACAGTTCCCTCTATCAATAAGGGAAAGTGAATTTTACTGTCCCAGTTTGTTGGTTTGTTGTTGTTTTTTAAAGAAAAACCTAGAGCACATATTACAACCACATTTCAAAGACAGGTATTTATATAAGTCACAACTTGAGAAACTCTTTGTAAATTATCATGTAAAAAAGTTGAATAGAGCCAGGCTCGGTGGCTCAGCCTGTAATCCCACGCCTTTGGGAGGCTGAGGTGAGTGGATTGCCTGAGCCCGTGGGTTCAAGACCCGCCTGAGCAAGTTGGCGAGACCTCATCTCTACAATAAATCAAAAAATTAGCCGGGCGTGGTAGCGCGCGCCTGTAGTTCCAGCTACTCAGAAGGCTGAGGTGAAAGGATCGCCGGAGCCCAACAGGTCGAGGCTGCACTGGCCGGGAGTGGCCACTGCACTCCAGTCTGAGCAACAGAGTGAGACTCCAACTCAAAAAAATTAAAAAAAAAAAAATGTTGAATAGATCAGTGGCTGCCTGGAGCCAGGAATAAAGTATGCGTGGGCAAGAGTGAAGGGGTGACTGAATGCAAAGGTGTATGAGGAAACATTCTGGGGTGATGGAAATGTTCCACATCTTTATTGGTGTGGTGATTACACAAATGTATACATTTGCCAAAACCCATTAAACTGTACACTTAATTTGTGTGTACCTTAAAATATGTAAATTATACCTCCTCAAATTGATTTTAAAAGAAAAAAGCATAGCAGTTAGAAGCTGTACATAATTGAATCATCTCATAAGTATATATGGTTAAAGATTTTTAGTTCTGATTTCCAGTACTTTCAAGTAACAGCATACCTTGTTTCCACCTTGATCCACATATCGAGCTGTGTTGTTATATACTCTCAGCATCGGTACAAGGCCATTGGAATTGCCATTAGTCTAAAAGAGACACCAAGACAGAAAAGTCAGAGGGATCTCAGCAAAGAAAAGAACAAAATGGCACAACAGTGAACAAATCAATGTCTCCCAATCTTTCATCAAGAAGAGCATCTAACTTCTAGGTAATAATGTATAGATTGTTTTACCTGCTCTCCAGCTCTACCTCTGCTTTGAAAAAATAATGCCCAACATAAAATCAATAAAATGTTTTTCAATAAATTATAGCTAAGCACTAAGTACTTCATGGCATTCCTAACTTACGATGACATATAACAATTACAAATCAAAAGAATCCAAAATCAGGAGGGCTAAATCTAAGCTCTACATCTTCTAAAGGTTATTATGTAGAGAAACATTTTAGGCAGAGAAAAAGGGAACAAAAACACTACTACAATGTCTTTTTCCTAAATGAATTCAAAGCAACTTGCAATAAGAATTATATGTAGCCGGGCTCGGTGGCTCAGCCTGTAATCCCATGTTTTGGGAGGCTGAGGTGAGTGGATTCCCTGAGCTGGTGGGTTCAAGACCCACCTGGGCAACTCGGCAAGACCTCATCTCTACAATAAATCAAAAAATTAGCCAGGCATGGTAGTGCGCGCCTGTAGTTCCAGATACTTGGAAGGCTGAGGCGGAAGGATCACCACAGCCCAGCAGGTCAAGGCTGCGGTGGCCGGGAGCATGCCACTGCATCCAGTCTGGGCGACAGAGTGAGACTCCAACTCAAAAAAAAAAAAGAATTATATGTAATGGATTAATGGATACATCAGGATAATAAATAAGGTAAATGGAGATTCTCGCAATAAACACACTCTAGAATAAAAACAAGAACACAGAAATTGCTATGATTAGAAGATGACTCATCAAATTCTTTTTTTTGAGTCGGAGTCTCACTCTGTCACTCAGGCCGGAATGGAGTGCAGTGGCACACTCATGGCTACTGCAGCCTCAACCTGCCGGGATCAAGTAATCCTTCCGCCTTAGCCTTCCAAGTAGTGGAACCACAGGCGCACACCACCACACCTGGCTAATTTTTTTATTTATTGTAGAGACAAGGTCTCACCAAGTTGCCCAGGCTGCTCTCGAAACCCTGGGTTCAGGCAATCCTCTAGCCTCTGCCTCCCAAAGTGCTAGGTTTACAGGTGTGAGCCACCATGCCTGGCTTATTCTTAAAATAAATCAGCTAACCTAAAAAGGATTCTAGAAAACATCTAGTTGAATCTAAACCTCTAATAAGATAGATGAAAATGAAGCCAGAAGTAAATGACTTGCTCCAAGTCACACAACCAGCTGGTAATTAACAGAGACCTAGGTCTTCCAAACACTAGGTTATGCCCTCTCAACTCTAAGCCTGGTTGCTTTTGGGCTTGATTCCTCTGTTTAAAAGTCAAACAGAAACTTACTCCAGCAATGTAGCTGCCAGTAGCCCGAATACTACTCACAGCAACACCAATTCCCCCAGCAGACTTAGAGATCAATGCACACTGCTTTAGAGTATCATAAATGCCTTCAATGCTATCATCTTTCATACTCAGAAGAAAACAGCTACAGAGGAGAAAAAAATGAATCAATTAAGAGCAAGGAAATGAAGCAGAGTCACAAAAATAATTATACAATACAAACACAATAAGTGAGACAAATAAAAGAACTGAAATTTATAAAGTTCCTAAGTGTTTTCAGAAGGAAAAAAACACTTTTACTGTGCATGACACAATAAAATATATCAACATATCATATTTTAAAATCTTTTTTTTCTTAAGTTTTTTCCCCACAACTTTGTTAGCCTTGCATATCTTGTTGTCTACCATAGACATTAAGTCTAAAGAGGAAGATAAGTCTAAATTATTAGCTTATATTTTCACCAGACTGCAAATGTGCTATTGTCACATTTTCTCATGAAAATTTATAAGCATTCAGCACAATCTTTTCAACTTGTTAGTAAGCCAAGAAAAATAAAATGTTTATGAAAAAAGAAACATCCAGCTAATGGTTAATGAATTCTTTTATGTCTTCCAAAATTACAGTTCCTTTATAGTCTTTTTAAAGATAACGCTTCTACCTCCACTTTGGAACTCATCCTACTCCCTACTTCATGAACCTAACTCTACCAGTAATCCCTTCACTGCCCTGAATATTAAACTACTCAAATGGTTCCATTCACTGATTTTTTTCTGTTAAATATTCAGACATTTAGAAGGAACAGAGAATGATATAATACCATCTACTTCAAGAAATTAGACACTATAAATATAACCTAACTGCAAACCCCTAACATTTTCATGTATTTCTACATTAACATTTTTGGATGTTCATTGCTCTAAGGTATTCCACCATATGAATATATTTGTCCATGTACCTGTTGATGAACATATGGATTATTTCCCATTTGTCTGCTATTCTTAAAATGCTGCTATAAAAATTCTTGAACACATCACCTTGTGCTTATGTCTAAGGATTTCTGTAGGTATATAACTTAGGAAGGATATTGCTGAGTCAAAAAATATGCATAAGTTCCACCTTACCAAAGATTCTCCCAAGTGGATGAACAAATCTATACTCTATCTAACAATATATATGATTTCCCTGTGTTCCACATTCTTGTTAACATTTGATATTATCAGCTTTTTCATTTTTATCAACCTGATGGACATGAAATATCTCATTATAGCAAAGCTTACTATAATGAACAGATGTTTATTATTTATTAGTCAATCAAGTTTCTTCTTCCATGCATTATTTGTTTATATCCCTTGCTTGTATTATTGGTTTTTGTCTTTTTCTTACAATCCCTCAACAGTTAACATGTTGCAAATATCTTCTCCCAGTATGGAATTTGTTTACTTGTTTTTTCACTTTGCTTTTGGTTCGCAGAAGCTTTTAATTTTAATGTAATCAATTTTCCCAATTTTTCATTTTATGATATTTTGCTTTTTATATCTTAAGAAAGCCTTTACTACTGAGGTCATGTATATATACAAGATGAAGTATTAAGAGTCGTGATGCTTGCAACTCACTTTCTTTCTTTTTTTCTTTTTTGAGTTAGAGTCTTACTCTTGTCACCCAGGCTGGAGTGTAGTGGCACGCTCACAGTCACCGCAGCCTCAACCTGCTGGGCTTAGGTGATCCTTCTGCCTCAGCCTTCCAAGTTGCTGGAACTACAGCAGACACACGCCACCATGCCCAGTTACTTTTTGTGATTTTATTGTAGAGACAAGGTCTCACCGAGGTGCCCAGGCTGGTCTCAAACCCCAGGCTCAGGCAATTCCTCGCCTTGGCCTCCCAAAGTGCTGGGATTACAGGCTAAGCCACTGCACCCAGTCGCAACTCATTTTCAAATGACTCAGTCCCCCAATTTTTTTTAATTTTAAAGATTAAAATGTTAATTTTTAGATCTAGGCAGTCATGGAGGTATTAGTATTCACTGCCTTTTCCTTTAAACTTTTTTGTGTTTGAAATTCATAACAAAAAAGTTGGGAAGTAAATAAATAAGTATATATGCTATGTATGATCTTCTAAAGATTTTACTTTCATATTTAGATTTTTTTTCTCTAATTTATTTCTGTATATAATATGAAGAAAATAAATCTAATTATATTTTTCCCATAAGGGTAACCAATTTCTCTAGCACCATTTCCCTAATGAGATACAATGTCACCTCAGTTATTCATCAAGTTCCCATATAAATTTGAGTTTGTTTCTGGGTTCTGTTATACTCCAGCAGTTTTTGTCTACTGGAATAAGCAGCAATTAGCAATTAGTAGTCTTGAAGTCTAGTAGGCTTTTTTCTTCACTCTGTCTTGCTATTTGTATTAAGTTTCCTGTGGCTACCTTAACAAATAGCCACTAACTTGATGACTTAAGAAACAGAAATAGATTCCCATAGTTCTGGAGGTCACAAGTTTATCATCAGTTTCATGGAGCCAAAATTAAGAGTGCTCCCTCTACAGGCTCTAGGGGATGATACTCTGTTCCTTGCTTTGTACAGCTTTTGGTAGCTAATGGCTTTCTGTTGTGGCCACATCACTCCAATTTCTGCCTCTGTCTTCCAATTGCCTTCTCCTCTCCTATGTGTATCATATCTCCTTCATCTTCTCTCTTTAAAAAAATTTTTTTTTATTTTAAAGATATGAGGTATAAGTTTGCATTAGGTATACAAATGGTCATTATGCAGGTATCCTTATTGATGAGGTGTGCCCCCTCTCCCTCTCCTGGCAGTGCCTCACTACTGTCAATCACTTTCTTTTAATACTATGATAACTGTCCAAGATTCGCTTACAAGTGAGAACATGTGGTACTCAGTTCTTTGTTTCTGTGACAAATCACTCAGTATTACAGACTCTAAGTCCATTCAAGCTGCTGTGAAGCTTCTCTCTTATAAGTATACTTTAAAGGCCAACCCAGATAATTCAGGATAATCTCCCCATGTCCAGATCCTTCTAAATCATATATCCAAAAATATCATCTTCCTCATAAGGTAATCTTTATAGGTTCCAGGATTTTGACTTTACATCTTTGGCAGTCTATAGGACTAGTCTTAGTCTTTTACTCTTTCACATAAATTTTAGAATCAGTATGTTGAAATTTTAACTAGAATTACATTGAATCTATAGAATAACTTGGGGAAAAACTGACATCTCTATAACACTAAATCTACTTATTAATATAAAATCACTCTCCATTTATTTATTTTTTTAATGTCCTTTAATTATGTTTTAAAAATTTTTCCTTAAAAGTCTTACACGTCTTCCATTAGATTTATTCCTGGGTACTTCTAGTATTATAATATTGCTTCATCAACAATGGACCACATGTACAATAGTAGTCATCCAGTAAGCTAAGGTTAATTTATTGTTGAAGAAAGAAAAATAAAAGTTGCCCAGGCTGGTCTCAAACCCATGGGCTCAGGCAATCCTCTCACCTTGGCCTCCCAAAGTGCTGGGATTAAAGGCGTGAGCCACCACGCCCAGCCTAGTTATATATTTTTTATGTTAGCATATCCTTGAATTACTGGAGTAAACCAACTTGCTAATGGCATATTACATTTTGTTTACATATTACTAGACTCTGGTATTGTTCCTTTTTTCCAGCATATGGCATCACCATTAATCCTGTTACTATACCCATAAACACAGAAGTTGTTCTTAACCTTTATCCAAAACATCACCAAATTCTGCCAATTTGGCCTTCTAAATATCTCTTGAATCTGTCTACTCTCAATCTCTGCTTTTACCTCTCTAATCCAAACTACCACAATTTCTTACATAAAACACTGTAAGAGTCCCCTAACTAGTTCCTGGCATTAACTTTAAAAAAAAAAACAAAAAAACAGCCTTATTGAGATACAATTCACAAACAACACAATTCTCCATGTAAAGTGTACTATTCACTGGCTTTTAGTATATTCATAGAGTTGTACAACCATCACCACAATCAATTTTAAAACATTTTTGTTATAAGCATTTGCCCTCTTTCCAATTCATTTATCACATTGTAGTCAGAGATCTTTCCAGAATACTAAACTCAATTTTAATCAGAGCACATAGCAACTAAATACTTATTATTTTTAATGTGATAAGCTGACAAGTTTATTCAGGTCAAGGCTTAATTCCCTACTGAAAACTATCTCAGAATATTAAAAGCAACTATAGATGACACATACCTAGAGAGTTGTGGGCGGTTGGTACCAGCATTGAAGAGAGTGGGAGAAGCATGAGTAAACCACCTTTCAGAAAGAAGGTTATATGTTTCAATTGCAGCATCAATGTCTTCTCTGTGAATCCCCACAGCTACTCTCATCAACATATGTTGTGGTCTTTCAGCCACTATAAATCCAAGAGAAGTTTTTACATGATGGGACACATCAGAAAACTAGGCTAAGACACATATTTAAATTAAAAAAAAAAAAAGGAACACCAAAAGAAAATTAGAAAAACTTCATACAAGTAAGCAAAACAATTAATCACAAACTAAATCTAAAGTTCAAAATGTCATTCAGAGTCTGAATAGAAATATTAAAAGCTTATAGTTAAAAGTTCTGTATACAATATACTGAATAAAAAATACACAAACATGTTCATTTCTTACCTTTTCCATTGATCTTCAACAAATAGGACCGCTCTAGCGTCTAGAAATAGCAAAACAGTCAAAAAAATTTGGAACATAGTTTTTAAAGACACAATGGATATATCATTCACAATAAAGCAAGCTGTTTAAATTTCAGTTTTTATAAAATTTTAAATGAAAAGAATAGTGTATTTTTACTCTTCCTAGCTTCAGTTTGTAACATTGTCATTGGCTGCTTTGTTTCGGCAAAGACTGCAAAAATTTCTAAACAAAGCCAGCACTACACACATTAATAGCAGAAGTTGTGGCATTCATTCATTATCATCAACACCACCACAATGGCTTATACATATAGAGTGCTTATAACAGGTTAGGCACTGATTTAAGCAGCACATATACTCATTTAATCCACAATAGAATTTGTTGTTAAAATTTCATATTCTCCCTATCCTAAAAATGAGGATACTGACGCAGAGATATTAAATAACTTGACAACAAGAAATAAAGCAGAGATTTGAACTCAGGTGGTCTGACACCAACATTCATGCTTTCAGTCACTACATTATACTGTCTACTAACACAAAAATAGTTAGATAAGCAATCGGTACATAGTAGGAATTCAATAAATAGTGGTTTTATATATATATATATAGTAGAATGATATGGAATAACTTTGGCAATTTATCTGCACAACTCTTCAGGTGATCCAGAAGTAATATTTTAAAAATTTAAAAATTGCAAGTGGATAAGCTATCTTTGCCTTAACTCAAATCACCACTACCATTTTAACCTCACTAATCCCCTAGACCCATCCTAACTCCAGATAACTCAGCATTTATAACTGCATCACCAAAACACAACCAAAATCCTATCATTACTGATTTAAGTAGAAATTCTCACTTTTGAAACCTATTACTTACCTTAAAGCCAAAGTAATTATAAGAGAAATCTCGGTCGTAGATAATAGCAGAATTCAAGCGCTGACAGAAGTGAAAAAGAACCCATAATTAAAATACTTATACTTATTGCCACAAAATCTGATTATCTTTCAAGTCTGACTCTAAAACTAAAACTGCCACAGGACACAACAGACAACACTTAGTATTATTACTGTGGAGTAAAAATCGTACTAACAACTAACATTAAAAAAGAGTTTATGAGTATTCTAATTAGGTTTAAAAACATGCATATTCAAAGATGAGAATACATAAATAAATGGGTGATTTTTTTTTTTGAGTCAAGGTCTTACCCTGTCACCCAGGCGAGAGTGCCGTGGCACAACCACAGCTCACCACAGGCTTGAGTCTCTGGGCTAAAGCGATTCTGCCACCTCAGCCACCCGAGTAGCTGGGACTATAGGAGCACACCACCATACCCAGCTAATTTTTTTTATTTTTTGTAGCAATAAGGTCTCGCTATGTTGACTAGGCTGGTCTTGAACTTCTGGTCTCAAGCAATCCTCTCACCATGCCCAGCCTTAGTTGTATGATTAAACGTGATTTTCCAAACTTTCCCTATTATCTTTATAGTACATCTTTAAAGAGGGAAAGAACATGAGCAAAAATGGAACCATATTATTCATTAAACAAGTTTTTAAATTGGTTGTTAATTCATAAGTATTGGTACCACATATTTACTAACACATATTTTTATTTTAAAAATTAACCTCTACAAACTACACATAACAATATATATGATATACAATTACAGAAGCAGGATTACATTAATTCTAAGTCTCCTCAAAATCTGGTCCTTCAACAGGTTTTGTTTTGTTTTTTTTAAGAGACAGGGTCTCACTCTGTCACCCGGGCTCACTGCAACCTAGAACTCTTGGATTCAAGTGGTCTTCCCGCTTTAGCTAGGATTACAGGAGCATGCCACTATGCCCAGCTAATTTTTTGTTTTGTTTTTGTAGAGACAGGGTGTCACTATGTTGCACAGGCTGGTCTTAAACTCCTGGCCTCAAGCAATCCTCCCACCTCAGCCTCCCAAAGTACTGTGATTACAAGTGTGAGCCACTGTGCCTGGCCCCTTTAACAGGTTTTAAACAAACTATTATGACAGTAAGATTTTATAAAACAATCGGTCACTATTATAGTTTTTGTAGGGTATAAAGTCATTGAGAAGAAAACAAAAGCAATAAGGTACAAATAATCAATCTGGATAGAAAAAAAATTGAGCCAGTTTTTCAAAATACTAACAGGGTTTCTACACAATGCTCCACATCCAAGAATTAGAAAAATTTATGAAACTCTGCTTTCCTTTTCTCTTAAAAATTTAAAGGGATTTTTGCTGACAAAGATAGGTATAGGCCTAATATGAATAATGAAAACCAAAATATTAGACTATCGATATTTATTTTTTAGACACAGTTATTTTTGTCTTTAATTTATCTTCAAGACTACATAAATGAACAACACACAACTCAGTTTTCTCTTAGTCTCTTTAACATCAGATATATGTTTGGAGAGGCAGTCAACTAACCATTCTGCTACCTAAGATTAAAACTGCTTTCTAGGCCAGGTGTGGTGGCTCAGCCTGTAATCCCAGCACTTTGGGAGGCCAAGGAGAGAGGATTGCCTGAGCCCGCAGGCTCAAGACCAGCCTGGGCAACATGGTGAGACCTCGTCTATACAACAAATCACAAAAACCAGCCGGACGTGGTGGCAAGCGTCTGTAGTTCCAGCTACTTGGAAGGCTGAGGTGGAAGGACTGCCTAAGTCCAGCAGGTTGAGGCTGTGGTGGCCATGAGCGTGCCACTGCACTTCAGCCTGGGCGATAAGAATGAGACTCCAACTAAAAAAAACCCTGCTCTCTAGTCTTTATAGATGGCTAGATGATATATCCTGTGTGTAAAAAGGCTGGGTTAGACTACATCTTTTCCCTTCTGTACTCAGGGTTTCAAACACAAGTGGATAGTTTTTAAGTTGCTGAGCAAGAGCTTTCAAAATTTTACCTGAGTAACTTTTTGGGAAGTCAGTTTGGCAATATCTATCAAAATTCTGAATTCACATACACTTTGACTCAGTAATTCTACTTAAGGGATTTATATCATCTATGGGCAAAACACCTACCATACAAGAATATTCACTACAGTGAAAAATGGAAAATAAATATTGGTCACTAAAGGAATTCTTACATATACATATAATAACAGTATATCTATAAAATAGAATGTTATACAACTATTAAAAGTATAGGATAAATTCACACATGCCGATATAGAACAACCTCTAAGACATACTTGTAAGTGAAAAAAGTATTAGTGAGAATGGTAGACATGCTACCAATGAAAAGAAAAATATATATGTACACACACGTGCATATACAAAATAGCTCTGGAAAAATACATTTTAAAATGATAAAACAAAGTTGTTTCTAGAGAAGAAAATCAGGATTCAGACCAGGAAACAGAATTACTTTTTACCATTATCTTTTGAGTGTTTAAATTCTAAAATGTGCACATTATTTTTCAAAAACTACCAAAAAATTCCCACCAGAAGAGTGTTACACATACATCTTTATTGTCCAAAACAATGTCCAGTGTTGACTTGGCCACCATGGGAGAGTGTTTGCCATTATGTGGATTTATGTAATTATAGAGGTCTTCCATCACATCTAAAAAATACAACAAAAAAATAAAAATGTCAAGACCACTAAACAGCTTAATTGATTTTCAGGTAAAAGTTAAAACAGTGATCCTCAATCCTTTTTTTATCCCAACTCACCTCAGTGCCTAGCACAGAAAGTGCTCAATAAACATATACATGTTGAATAAATATATAATAATATATCATTTAAAGTTACAATCTACTGGAGTTAAAGTGAGCACAAGCTCTTATAGTTTAAAAAAGATTCCCAAATGACTCTGATACCAACTCCCATTGAGAATTATCGACTAAAAATAAGGAAATGCAGATTATGATTTTTAAGATTTAAAAATTCTAAAAAACAGAAATTCACCTTAAAACTCAGAATCTATCAATCTCAAGCAGTTCATATCTATAAATGTACACTTAATAAGCCCTCTCACTCTGCTCTTCTTCAAGACACCACAGCAGTATTTGGCTCTCTGCATTTACTTACAAAACTTACAGCTGGGCATGGTGGCTCATGCCTGTAATCCCAGTACTTTGAGGGGAGGAGGCAAGAGGATTGCCTGAGCCCAGGGGTTCCAAACTAGCCTGGGCAACTTGGCAAGACCTCATCTCTACAATACATTTTAAAAATTAGCCAGGTGTGGTAGCACATGTCTATGGTTCCAGTTACCTAGAAGGCTCAGGGGGAAACATCACCTGAGCCCAGCTGGTCAAGGCTACAGTGGCCATGAGCATGCCACTGCACTCCAGCCTGGGCGACAGAGTGAGAATCTGACTCAAAAAAACCAAAAAAACTTACATACATACAAATGCTGCTGTTTTGATGGGGTTGGTTGAATCTACAGATAATTTTGGGAGAACTGACCACTTCATAATAAATCTCCTGAAGAGGGAGGACATAATGCTTAAGGTCCCACATAATAGATATGAAATTGAAAGCCAAAACACTTCTACTCTCAGTCTACCAATTGGCTTCTTATATATTGAATAAATTATTTAACCTTTCTTTGCCCATATTCACTAAGTTGTAAGATGAGAGTGATGAAGTAAAGTGCTTGCTAATGGAGACAAAGGATCAAGTGTAACATTCTGTTTAACCCAGAACTTACCAATAAATATTATACATTTTCCAAACCATACTACCACCAACTGCCTAAAGATGGGCTTTAAAAATAAGAGAATAGAAAGTGTAAAGCGCAAAAATTCATTAATGCTTTCATGCAGATCAGCAGCATGGAGAGACAGGAAGTTCTAGTCTCCTCAGTGCCACTAATTTACACACTTTGCTTTTTTTAAACAAGACATAACTCTTCTTTTGACATCCAAGCTTTCTTTCTAGTACTCTTACCAATTTTCTGATATTACCAAATTCTTTCTAATTTTTTCACCTCAGACTTACCACTGAACACTTTCTTTGTTTCTTTGTGCAAGTTAGAGACAGCAATTCTTGCTGCCAGGATGGCATAGTCAGGATGCTTAGTAGTTAAGGTTGCAGCCGTTTCAGCAGCCAAAGTATCTAGCTCCACCGTGGTGACCCCACTGTATAAGCCTTGGATTACTTTCATGGTGATCTGAGCCTACAAAAATGAAACTAAGAATTACTTGAGGCTGGGCTCAGTGCCTCATGCCTATAATCCCAGCACTTTGGGAGGCCAAGCTGAGAGGAGCACCTGAGTCCAGGAGTTCGGGACCAGCCTGAGTTATTAAAAAAAAAAAAAAAAAAAAAAAGAAAGAAAAGGAAGAAGAAGAAGAATTACTTGAGCTTCCCTAAGAAACAATAGCTTTCTTAAAAGATCAATTAAGGGCCAAACACAGTGGCTCACACCTGTAATCCCAGCACTTTGGAAAGCAGAGGCAGGAGAATTGCTCCAGGCTAGGAGTGAGACCTGTCTCTACAAAAAAATCAAAAAATTAGCTAGGTATGGTGGCATGTGCGTGTAGTCCCAGCTACTCAGAGGCTGAAGTAGAAGGATCTCCTGAGCCTAGGAGATCAACGCTGTGGTGAGCTGTGACTGTGTCAACGCACTCCAGCTGGCGAGAGAGTAAGACCCTGATTCAAAAAAATAAAGTATACAAATCCATAGCTTAAAAAAATAGTATTAAAAAAAAAATCATGGTTGGGTGTGGTGGCACAAGCCTGTAGTCCCAGTTACTCAGGAAGCTAGGGAGAGGAGATTGCTTAAGCTAAGAATCCATCTCAGGAAAAAAAAAACCAAAAAACAGAATGACAGGCTGTGGGAAACTCAGTAATGAGAATTCATAAACCAAGAGAGCTGCCAGAAAATGCATACTATACAATGAAGGGGTGTATTTTTTATAGTAAAAAGATTAATGGTCTCACATGGAAACAGTTAAAAACAGACCATAAATCTATAAGCATTTCCTCATCAAATTCTCCCTTTGTGATCAGGGTTCCAGTCCCTTACTTACTCACTTTCCCCCAATTCCATCTAAGGATAAGTACAGAAATGCAAATGAATCAAACTTTGAACCTAATGCTTAGGTTACTGAGACTTACCCAAGGTTATAATACTATCCAAGTCTTCTGGCCTCAAATCCCATTAAACCTCAGTGCATTTCACTGTTTTCTTTTTTTAATTGAGTTGGAGTCCCCACTCTGTCACCCAGACTGGAGTGCAGTGGCCACTCCTGGCCACTGCAACCTCGACCTGCTGGGCTCCAGAGAGCCTTCCGCCTCAGCCTTCCGAGTAGCCTCTGCCTCTGCCTCCCAAAGTGCTGGTACTACAGGTGTGCGCTACCACCCCCGGCTAATTTTTTTGATTTATTGTAGAGATGAGGTCTCGCCAAGTTGCCCAGGCAGGTCTCAAACCCATGGGCTCAGGCAATCCACTCACCTCGGCCTCCCAAAGCGCTGGGATTACAGGCTGAGCCACCGAGCCCGGCGCATTTCACTGTTTTCAAGACCACTTTTTAAAACACATAATGCATAAGTTATTACTATACATTTAAAAAAAAAAGGTCAGGCGCAGTGGCTCACACCTGAAGTACCAGCACTTTGGGAGGCAGAGGCGAGAGGATTACCTGAGTCCAGGAGTTTGAGACCAGCCTGGACAACTTGGTGAGACCTTATCTCTACAATAAATCAAAAAATTAGCTGGGTGTGGTGGCACATACCTGCAGTTCCAGCTACTCGGAAGGCTGAGGCGGGAGGATTGCCTGAGCCCAGCAGGTTGAGGCTGCAGTAGCCATGAACGTTGCCACTGTACTCTAGCCTGGGCAACAGAGTGAGATTTCAACTCGAACAAATAAATAAATTATCAATAAACTATAAGTTGTATATGTGTATGTTTACTAAATCTTTAAAAAACAGCTTAAGTCAATAGAAATTAAATGCATTTCCCAACTAAACAAAGCATATCCTCTCCCCCCAAAAACGAGATATATGTGCATGTGGTTACTGATTCATCTTCAAACTATTCTAATTATAATATAGCTGAGCCAAAGCTGTTTCTGATCACTTTCTTTCCAGATCCTGCAGATAGGGTATGTTCAGAATAAGAGCAGAAGTCTTTTAAATAGTTTCTGGTGCAACAGAGCAAGTAATCAGAACTCAGAATAAAATAACATCTGTGTGCTAACTGTGGCCAACCTAATATCAAACCAGACTTTTTAAAGAGAATCTTCCCCAGGAAGCATGAGTCTGCTACACTACCCCTGCATTCTGAAATACAGTACTGCGTGAAGCAATAGAACATCAAGAGACCTAGGCTCTTCCCCCTATACTCCCACTAACTTAAACAAGTCACTCCTCTTCTCTTTTTGGAGTTTTCTTATCTATTTAAAAAAAAATGAAATAAGATGAACTCTTAGGTTCATTCCAATTCTAACATTCAACTATTCTAATTACTGTCTAAGTACTAAATGTAAAAGAACTTATAGTAAGAATATATTAAAGAGATATACAAATAATTTTTTCTTGACCAAACCTACTTTGGTCAATTAAACATTTATCAAGTATCTATTGGACATGTGTCAAGCACTGCAGATAAACAAGAATAAGATACAGCCCATCCTCAATTCCAGGGGAAGAGAGAGACCTACAGGTAATTTCCATACTATGTGGGTTAAAGCTATGAGTTGAACACAGGTTTTACAGCAGTATAGACAAAATACATAAATAAGGCTGCAGCAATATGGGTGGATTTGAAAAGAGTTCTTAGAAATTCTAGTTTTAGGAAGATAATTTTAAAAGCCAAGTGGAAGACTAATTTGAAGATGGCAAGATTAGAGGAAGGCCAGAAGGACACTTCAGAGACCAGAGAAAGCAGTACAAATAAAAGATGAGGAGGGTCTAGAGCAGAAGAGTTATAAAAGATAAAGAGAAAAGCAGAGCAATTCACTTATGAATAGCGAGTTTGTTCTCCTTGACTTAAATATTGTCCATGAAATGTACTTTATATTAAATGTTTTTGATATAGATAACAAATAGCAAATTTCAAACCAGTCCCTACCTAAATGACCAGAATCCCAAAACAAGCTATACTACAAGCTTTTTCACTTATACATAAAACAATTTACTCAAGGAAATTTCTGATATTAAACATTAATAACAGGTTTTCCTCTTTGCTCACATTCATAGTTATCTGAAAAGTAAGAACTCATAGGACAGAACCAAAATTAAGAAAAAAAGCTTTAAGCAATGAATTCACATTTTATATCCAAGGGTGTAGCCAGAATATAAAATCAAAGTACATCAGGTGAGTAAAAGTTCAGAAATATGAGACAAGTAGAAAGAATCACATGAAGCAAGAAATCCAAGATATAAACTATATTTACTTACAGGATCAACAAAGTCCATATTGAGTCCATAGCAAAGCTTCTGGATTCGAGATGTAATTTTGTCGAACATGACTCGCTCTTGGCGACCGTCTGAAGAATCAAACCACATGATTCTTGTTAGCAATTATTAAGATGACAATGTCAGAGAATGAAATGTAATCAACATGTGAACTTTAAAAATTGACCAACATGAAATGCTATCTCACAGATAAAAGATTCAGACCCTCAAAAGATTCATGAAGAGGTTATTTTTGTATTCTCTGATGTTATAATCAAAAAGTATGGATTGTCTTCCCTTCTCTTACATTATAATCGGACAGATTTTTGGAATAACTTTCCAAATGGTGTTTTCCCCTGCCCCACATGACAGTCAAAATTATCCTTTAAAACTTAAGTCAGAATCATATCATTATCTCCCCCAAAACCCCTAACAGTGGCTTTCTATCTCCTTCAGAATAAAAGTCAAAATCATTTTTAAAAATCCACAGAATCCCACAGAACCTGCCCTACTTCACCTCCAACTATCCCACCTTCCTTACTTACTCTACCTTGGCAACCCTGGTCTCCTTGTGCTATCTTCACCTCCCTTAAGTCTTTGCTTGATGCCAACCTCTCAATGATGCTTTCCCTGTTTTCCTTCTATTTTAAATCACAATAGATCACAAACACAACCCTGCTCTTCTTATTCCCCTTCTTCTTCTATGCTTTATTACTCTCCACAGCACTTATCACACGGCTCACTGCGCCTCAACTTTCTGGGCTCAGGCGATCCTTCTGCCTCAGCCTCCTGTGTAGATGGGACTATAGGCGTGTGCCACCATGCCCAGATAATTTTCTGACTTTTGTAGAGATGAGGTCTTGCTATATTACCCAGGCTGTTCTTAAGCTTCTTGGCTCAAGCAATCCTCTTGCCACAAGCCTCCCAGCTCTGGGATTACAGGCATGAGCCACTGTACCCAACTACTTTGTCATTTATCACAGTGGCTCTCAATTTTCTTTTTTTAATTTTATTTTCTTGCCAGGCACTTTGGAAGGTGGAGACAAGAGGATTTCCTGAGCCCAGGGGTTTGAGACCAGCCTGGGCAACTCAGTGAGACCTCGTCTCTACAATAAATTTTTAAAAAAATTAGTCAGGCGCCGGACATGGTGGTGCACGCCTGTAGTCCCAGCTACTTGGAAAGCTGAAGCGGAAGGATCACCTGAGCCCTGAAGGTCAGCCTGCAGCGGCCGTGAACATGCCACTGCACTCCAGCCCAGGCGACAGAGTGAGACTCTGCCTAAAAAAAAAAAGCAAATGACAAATAACTAATTTTATTAGAGTTGTGGGGCTCAAAAATTTTTTTTGCCATAATCTCCTTAAGGAATGATACTCAACCATTAGAAAAAATTGCACAAGACAGCAAATGAGAAAAACTCATTACTATTTCCCTCTGTTATCCAACAATTTTCAAATGTATTATTTCTAAATCCCCAATAATTTTAAGTACTTTGAGATGAGTTGTCTTCTTCTTCTATTACTGCCCTTACAGTGTTTAGCAAGATACTAGCACATTCGGTAAGTATTTCAAAGTCAACTGCCTGTTGCCCTCCTGAATAATTACATTACAATTAACAAACACTACAGGAATTATTTGACTACTTCACTGGCATGCCAAAGCTAAGATGGGACAAAAAAACATAAAAAACAAAAACCCTGTGCACATTAAAAAACAAAAAATAAAGCAAAATAAATACAGAAACAAGCTGTATAAGCCTTGATGAATGATACACTGTGAGAATCTAGGACATGAACCATCTGAATCAAATTATGCTCTCTGAATGAAAAACAAAATAAGCCTTGCCTATTAGAGCTAGTTGTAGATAACACTTTTTAAATACAGTATTTCAAAGTAGACCCAAAAGATTAAAACTTCAACAGAGAAGTGTGACCCACTCCAGCAGTCTAAGTTCATAAGTTTTTCAATTCATCTTCGTTACTGGCTTGTCATAAGACCACCCTCAAGCATCTTTCCCATATATCTTTCTAACGGATCATGAGATGTGCACTATGTATTTTGCTCTTTGGTCTTGGCTAAAATGAAGGCTAGGAAAATTCAAAGAATGATGTTCTCAAGACATTAAAAAAACAAGAAGGGCCACCACAGTCCACCTCTCCATCTCCTGGCTGTAGTTAAACCAATCTGGACACAGCCAAAATCCACGATCGGTTTACCCACAGCATTCATCATATCCTACATAGGACAACATTATTCTCATTCATTCTTTGAAAACCTATTCATGACAGGTCCTGTGTTCAGTGTGAGCAGGAAAATCTCCAAATGTGAGATGGTCACAGCCTAGTGGGCAAAACAGAAACACCCAATCAACCAATATTTACTAAGGGCCTACAATGTTGAAATAATTCATTGCTTCAACAAAGTCAGAGAGACTAGACCCCAAATCGGTTCACACCTGTCTCAAATGGATGTTGTAAATATGTGCTGTTCTCGTTTTTCCAAGTCGATTAAACCTATTCCCCAAGCAGGGTCTACCTCCTCGGAGAATCTCACACAGACACACAGAGGGATGGGCCGAAGAGAAAGCCGGCAAGTCTAGTGGGAAACACGAGGAGCCGTAAAGAAAAAAGCAAGTCCCCGACCCGTCCCAGTCCCCATCTCGCCAGACTGTCCCGGACGCAAACTCTCCTGTGACTCCTCTTCCTGGGGCATCCGGCACCACCACATCCGACAAAGGGCACTCTCCAGGGTGCAGTCGGTTTGGGATCTCTTGTGGGGCTTTTGGTATTTTGTTTCCCCCCACCGCATACGCCCATCCTCATCCCACAAAAGACATCAGCAAACTGACAGGTGCCCGTGCAGAGAACAGAGTCCCTTCCTTCTTTCTAGCCTCCCCCCGTGCCCACGACAAGTCGCCAACCACACGGTTTTCAAATGCAACCGTGTTGTCAGCCACGGGTTCGAGCCCTGGCCTCCCCACCCACTAACTCGGTGACTCTGGGCCAGGCACCGAAACCTCTGAGTCTGTTTCATCACCTGTGAAGTGGCGCTAAAGAATCCCTCTCTTAGAGGTCGGGGACGAGAAATGATTTAACACAGTGTCTGCAAAGTGCTCGGCACACACAGTTAAGGGCTCGGCACAGGGCGGGTGCTATCCTTTTGGAAGGCGGCAAGATGACAAAGCCAAGGAGCCCAGACTCACGCAAGACACAACGCCGAGAGGACTGACAGGGCAGAAGGCCAAGACGCGAAAGGCGCCAAGCGGCGGCGGGCGGGCGAGATGAACCACAGCGCGGGCTGCGCGACAGCGCCCCCGGCGGCAGCCCGCGTCGCTGCACTCTCCCTGCGCAACCACCTTGCTGCCCTCCTCCGGGGCCCTCACCTCGCTTGATCACATGCATCGCGGCTAGTGGCTGAGGCGCTGAGGGGTTCGAGTCGCGGCTGCAGCTCCGACGCGCGGGCGGAATCGAGAAGGGGACAAAGTCCAGGGGCTGCTCAGGTGCTGGAACCGGAGCTCGAGTCAGACGGTACTTTCCTCACCGGAGAGGAGGCGCGATAATCGAAATCTCCTTCCCGCGCCCGCCGCCTGTGACGCACGACGTTGCTCGAATCACGTTGCTCGACGCCGCCAACGCCAGGGTGGACTGCGCAAGACTAGCGGAAAGTCAGCCTCGCCGTGTAGCCGCCATGTTGAGTTTGGGCAAGGCCCCGGAGACCACGCCTCTCCCGTGGCCCCATCGGGTGTGGGCATGACCGGCGGGAACGCCGTTCTCACGCCGCCATGTTGCTTGTGGGCAAGCCGAATCCGCGGGGCCTCGGGGCCCTGATGTAGCACGCAGAGCCCTCTAGGTCAGGCCCCGCCCCCTCGTCTGTGCGCGCCTGCCAAAGTCTAGGCGGGTCCCTTTTTTTTTTTTCTTTTCTTTTTTTTTTTTGAGGCGGATCCTCACTCTGTCGCCCAGGCTGGAGTGGCGTGGCATGCTCACGGCTATCGCAGCCTCTACCTGCTGGGCTTAGGCGCCCCTTCCGCCTCAGCCTTCTAAGTAGCTGGGACTACAGGCGCGTGCCACCATGTCCGGCTAAGTTTTTGATTAATTGTAGAGACGAACTCTCGCTATGTTTCCCAAGCTGGTGTTTTTGTTTGTTTTGAGACAGGATCTCACTCTGTCGCCCAGACTGGAGTGCAGTGGTGCAATCCCGGTTTACGGCAGCCTCGACCTCCTAAGCTCAGGCGACCCTCCCAACCTTAGCCTCCCGAGTAGCTGGGACCACAGGCGCGTCCCACCATGCCCAGCTAATTTTTCACTTTTTAAAATTTTTTTGTAGAGAGGAGGGCTCACTATGTTGCCCAGGCTGGTCCCACACTCCTGGGTCCAAGCAGTCCTCCCTCCTCGCCTCCCAAAGTGGCGATGACAGGCGTAAGCCACCGCGCCCGGCTGGTTCACTTGTGTTTAACATAGTAGCAAAACCCAACCATCCAGAACATTTTTTGTTTGACTGCTACATTATAAACACCCTGAAGTTTCCGTCGGATGTGGGCTCTATCCCAGGCTCCCCAGCCGCAGGCAGCTGGGAGCCTCGGGGCTTTTTGGCACTCGGGAGTTGGGAGTTGGAAGAAAGCGGAGCTAGGCCAGTGGCATTTGGATTTTATCCTGATGAAACCGGAGCCCCGCGATAGTTACAAGAGGGGCAGGTCAGGGCCAGGACCTATTTGCTTTTAGGGTTCTCCAGTGGATGGTGGCAGGGACAGGGTTAGCGATAAGGCAGTTGAAGCCTTGTGGCGGTAGGATGGACTTAGTGACTGAATGTGGAGAGGAAGAATATACAGGAGCCCTAATATACAAAGCTGGTGTAAAACCTTCTGATTTGGGCTACACAAACTGATTTTATGAAATTTCATGTGGCATCCTCTCCCTAAAACCTTTCAAAATCTTCCATTGGTTTCTCATTGCCCTTTAGAAGTTGCCCGAGCTCCCTGTAATTCTAAAACTTATAAAAGGTTGTAGGTGAGCCTATAATTCCAGCACTTTGGGAAATGAGTCAGAAGGATCGCTTGGTGCCAGGAGTTTGAGACCAGCCTGGGCAACATAGTGAGACTCCCCCCATCTCAAAAATAATTTTTTTAATTAAAGAAAAAAAAGGTTATAGGTAAAGCTATTGGCTAGATAGGGTCAAGATTACCTAGAGATAGGGTTGCCTGATTTAGCAAAAAATGTGTCCCAGCTATTGCATGAGATAAAATTATACTACTAAGAAATTGTTTATCTGAAATTCAAATTTAACTGAGCATTTTGTATTTTATCTGGTAGCCCTACTAAGTAGAAACTTGGGTATGTGCGTTCAAGTTTCATTTTCCCTGGACAGAGAAAGAATAGTCTCTTCACCCTCTGTCATGACACAGAAGGCACAGAGAACACAGTAAGAGTCAAAGCCAGCAGAGGTTAAAATCTCCTACATGCTTTATTGGACTTCAAAGAGTCTTAAGAAATAACACAGAAAAACCCATGTGAGGGTGTCCAGGGCATACAAGGCAGTCTGCAGCCCAGCAGCCTCCTAAGACCAGCCCCAGATACACCCACCCCAGGCCCGAAATAGGATCCCAGGATAAAGGCATGGCAGGGAGTGGGGCAGAGGAAAAAATACCTTTACAGCCATAGCAAAAACAGGTAAAGGAGAGTCGTTTAGAGGGTGGGAAGGGTGGGGGGAAGTGGTCACATAGCCGCTTTCACCTACACCATCTTCCTTAGCCACCCCTTCCCCAAACCGGTTGTTTTAAGCCTCTGGCCAGGATATGAAGTAACATGAAAATGGGGTCTGACAAGGGTAGTATGCAGTGTAGGCACTTGGGAAATTCAGGAGATTTCTTTTTCTTTCTTTTTTTATATTTTTCAAAGTTTTTTACTTTTAACCCATTTTGTCTTTTGGTTCAAAAATATGACAACATCCTTGCCCAACAGCTCCAGGGCTCCATGCGAGCCTGTACCATGGCTGTGGCTCCCCTGGCCAGGGGAACCAATTGTCCTGAGCCCCTGGAGTATTGGTGCTTGAGGAGTCTGGGTGCTTGGGGAGCTTTGGGGCATCTCTTAGAGACAAACCCTCCTGCAAGGTTGGGGAGCAGGAGTAAGAGGGAGACAGGTGTGGGTGGAAAAGAGAGAAAAGGTGACTGCCTTATAACCCACAGCTCTGACATCCACTCATGCTCTAAGAGATGTCTCTCCCGATCAGTCCCCAAGCCTAGCCTCTCTTTAAAGCTCTCTGGTGGCTTGTTCTTTGGGAATTGATTTCACTCTCCCATGGACCCCTGGAGGCCTGAGTGAGCTCTAGAATGAAGTTCCCTCTGACCCACAGCACTACGAAAGAATAAACCCCAAAGATTAGGACCTAGGCCCCAGTCTGAAGCAAACAGAACCACTGTGGGTGGGGTGGAACAGATCTGAGGCATAGGTGTCAGAAGTCACACTTCCTACTTTCCCTGCAACTGCCAGGGGAAGCTAGGTAGTGGTAAGAGGGAGGAGCCTGAAAGCAAGAGACAGAAACAAGAAACCAAACCTCAAAACTGGGACAGCAGAGACAGAAGCTGGACCCCAGAGGTGGACCTGGGAGCTGAGGGAACAGCAACTAAGACATGCACTGAAGTGGAGAGGGAGTGACAGCAGCAGCCGATTGTTGGGAGGGAGGCAGGGCAGGCAGGCCATGGTGGTCAGTTAATAAATAATGATGAAGGACCCAAGGATGAGCGGGGCAGGTATGTGCAGTGCCCAGGCCCCTGGACCAGCCCTTCCCATGCCCCACTCTAGGGCAGATATCTTGAAGGAAGGGAGGGAAGGGGAGGCAGAAGACCCAGGGAAGGATAAGCTGTCCCATCACTGCCACAGCCATCCTGCCTACTTCTTAAGAGGCTTCTTAAAGATTTTGAGGGGAAACTTCTTCCGGCCTGGGCTGGAGTCTGTCTCCTCACCAATAGAGCCATTATCCTCCTCAGCCACAGCTTTCTTGCCAGCCAGGTGGGGAATGCGTGTGTTTCGGCTGGCTTGCAGGGCTCGGTTGTCCCCAACTGGAGATGGCGTGTCTGGGTCTGGGGAACTGGGGCTGTGAGAACGGGAAGAATCCAAAGGTGGAGAGCCACCAGGTGGAGCTGAGGGGCTTAGCTCCATCAGGCTGTGGGCCTTGTCCAGCCCATGGTTCAGCGCCAGGAATGTCTTCTTGGCCAAGGCAGGACTGTCGGGCAGTTTCTCCACCAGAGACCCTGGGTGGACCCCCTCAATCAGCCGGTGGCTGCCATTGGAAGTCATGGCATTGAGAGCCTCGTCTACAGCACGGCCCATCTGAGGAGGTTTGGGAGCCATACGCTGGCGGTCACTCATGTGGAGGGAAGACTCCGAATCGGAATGGGTCAAATCCCTGCAAGACATAGGGAAGAAAGAAAGAAAGGGACATATACAAAGGATAGAGAGATGGGGGAAAGTTGAAGAAGAGAGAGGGACAACAGGCAAAGACAAGGAAAATATGGGAAAATGGGGAGAGACAAAGTGGCAGGTGAGATAAATAGGATGAACAGACAATTTGGAAGAAAAGAGGAATGAGGAACAGAATGAAGTTGAGTAGGCATAAATACAGAATAAGAGAAGAAGCAGGAATAGGGAATGGGGATAGAGTGGAGAAGAGATAGAGAAGAATAGAATTGTAGAAGAAGAAAAAGGAGGAGCAGGTAGAAATAAGGGCCAAGGGGAGAAATAAAGGGGAAAGTGATGGGAAGAGAAGACACAGACAAGAAACAAAAACAAATGTCATCATTCTGTCATCTGGCAAATGGCTTTCCAGTACTTGGGCCCCATCATGCTGAATGCTCAGGCTCTGAATTGGTACAACCATAGGCTTAATTCCACAAGGTAGCCTCCTCAATAAAATCTCTGCCTTCACATAGCTGGCTAGATTTCTTAGGAGTCAACCCTGAGCTCACACATAACCTACATACTGCTCTGAATCACCACTTTCTATGCCTTCCTCCCCCATTCGCTCCTATCACACCCTGGAACACATCCAGTCTAGGCCAGACCCCAAAGAACAGGGCACATGCATTCAGTAAACCTGGCCCAGGCTGGGAAGGAGAAGGTTAGAACAGCCTTGCAAACAATTCCTCATGCACCCCAAAAGGTCAGGATGCTGCCTCTACTAACTCTCTCACAGAATTAAGAGGAAGTCACAGATAAATATTGCAGAGCTCAAAGCAAATTCTATAGTGGCAGCAGGAAGGGTGGGGTCTCTTTCAGAGCTCTACAGACAGAAAGAATGTAGGGAGTCATAGAAAGACATCATGTTGGCCTTTTGTGGTTCGAAGAGCTCTGGACTCTTCTGTGTGATCTTTAAACAAGTCATCTGCCCAATGAAGCCAATACCAATTCAAATATCTTACAAGAATGGAGGTACAAATATGTTAGCAAAGCACTTGGAAATTAGAAAATATTGTGGGAATGAAGATGATGAGGCCAACCAAGCTAAAAAGGCCCATATAGGGACCAGTCACAAGAGGCTTCTTTGCAAGGCTGAGTTGTGGAGACATGCCACTACACACTGGACATGCATACACAGAGGCTAGTCCAGGAA